GAGACACGTTTCGAGATAATATCCATATCGATTCAATGTCACTTTATAATGCATCTTTGCTGTTAAAATCATTATTTAAGTTTCATTATATGTATTTTACATTTAAAATTTAATGTTATCTCGGTGAATGAAAAACTTAAATGAAAATGAAATTTTTTTTCAATTTGTATTATTTTTATATTAATTCTAATCTAATAGAAAGAACAACTGTAAAAATGTAAATTTTTTTATCAAATTGATCTTTAAAAATATTTAATCTTTTCTATTTTATAATAATTAGGCAATTAATTTTTAATAATAATAAAAAAATGTCTTCTTTGTAATTCTATCATTATTCTTGTGGATTAACAATGCAATTTATTATTATATGTTGTTAAATAATATTATTAGAATAGTAATTAAATAAAATTACTAGAATATTATTTATTCATTTGATAAAAAGATTAATTATTTTTATTTCATGATAAAATTTATTGTTAATTTTAATTTTCCATAATACGTATTTCTTATTTTTGAAAATTTCAAATTAAATTTGATAAAAATTAATCGATCACTTCGAGTACAAAATTCAATTGTTAAAAAAGATAACAAGAAACATGATAGATAATGATTCTTATAAAATCAATTTTAAATTTATATGTATTCTTATTCATAAATAAATTACAATTTTTTTTATTCTTTAAAATGTTTATGAATATATAAGATAAGAATAACATATCAATTTCTGAAAATATCATTAAAATTTTTATACATACATTTTAATGCAAAATTGATTAATATTTTATAACAATATTTTTTTCGAATATTAATTTTTTAAGTTTTTAATTTAAAAGATCATTGAATTAAATATTATAACTAAATATCATTGAAAAATTTTTATATATGTATATAATTAAAATTGTTATTTGCAGAATACAAAATGAAGAAACTGCTAGCAGTTTTTCTGCTAACAGTACTGTTATCCGGGCTAATTTCATTAAATGAAGCTAACATTGATGCCACACATATACCATTAATTAAATCGAATCATTTAAATGATTCTCCAGAATTGAAGGAATCTCTAACCGAAACAAAAGCTATATCAGAGAAAGAATCTTATTCAACTGATGTATCAGTAAACGAACAAGCAGAAGCTGTCGATGAAAAAGATGCATTAATATTGAAGAAGGATCTTCAATTTATGAAAAGTTTTCTTAGTCCTAAAGATATACTTATGCAAGAAATTCATACATTAAATGAAGAATCTAAGGTAATTTGTATATTTTTATATTGATTTAATATAATCATGTATTTAATATTACAATATTGTTAATGAAATTTTAGTTCAATTCAATTTAGCATAAATAAATTATTAAATTAATCGATGAATTAATTTAATTTAATATAAAGATAATTAAAATAATTGAATTACAAAGTATTCAATTATTAAGTATTCAATAATTCTTAAGTATTCAAATAAAATTACGAAAATAATTACAGAATCAGAATAAAATTGCACAGCCTCTTAAAACAGAAGTTAAAAAGGTTAGAGTCTCAAATGCATCAACAAATAACAATTCGAATAATAGTGATATAACGACATTACTCGAAAATGAAAATGTATCCTATGAAGATGATTTGAGTGAAGATGAAGAAGATGAAAACGAAGACGAATATGAGGATGAAGATCATGATGAAAATGACGATGAACCCGAAGATGATGAACAAGTAATGACACAGTGTCCTGATTATTGCAAATGTGCTGGAGAGTATGCTGCTGCAACAACCGCAACGTATGTCTTTAATGATAGCATGATATAATTTAATTATTTCCTTTATGCTAACTAAAGATAAAAGCAATATTTATATAAACAACAAAATTATTAATAATATTATATCATAGATGCCATTTTTGTAGGTATAACGAATTTGAATATTTTATAAAATTTATAAAAGATATATTTATTAAAAATTTTTTCTATAAGTATTTTTTCTTTTATTTTCAGATGCACCAAACTTGTAGAACAACAATCTTTTAGCACGGGTATTGTCCATTTGCGCATTGAAAATGCTGGACAAATTCGTCTTGGCTCTCATGCATTTCAATCACGAGGCTTTCAACATTTGGAATCTATTACGATTACTGATACGAGAATAGTCGAATTGAATCAAACTGCATTTGATGGCATACCATATTTATTTTCTGTAAATTTAACACGCAATGATCTTCAAGATATTCATCCAAATACTTTTCTAAATAACAAACAACTATCATTACTTGCTATTTCTGGAAATCCATTAAAACATACACAGGATTTGAAATTACCAAAACATAGTTTGTTTGATGCTCCATCCGTTACAGAATTTGATTTTTCTTTTAATGGTTTGACGAAATTGAAACGTACAGCATTTGCAAAAATGAAAAGTTTGACTTATATTAATTTAAAAGGCAACAAGTTGAAAGAAATTGATAGTGCAACTTTCAATATGTTAGAATCACTTGTAGAAGTAGATCTTTCGAATAATTTATTAAATGAAATTCCCGTTGATCTCTTTAATAACAATGAAATTCAAACGCTTCGTATTACTAGTAAGATTAATTAAATACAAATTTTAATATGTAATGTAACAAAAATTTTTATTGAAAAATTAAATTGTATTTAATTTTTAGGAAATAATTTCGCAAGTTTAAATACTATACAAGCATCAAAACTGAGATTATTAGATGCATCTAATAATAAAGTCAAAACAATAGCAAAAGATGATTTTGCTGGAATGCCTTTATTGGATCAGTTGATAGTCACTTCTAATGGACTCAAAAGAATTCATCAACATGCTTTTGTTAATCTTGATCAACTTAATTATCTCGACATTAGTGATAATAAATTAACTTTTTTGACAGAACATCATCTAAAAAATAATGCAAGATTACAAGTTTTATTAATGAACAATAATCCCGAATTGAATACTTTACCAATTTTCAAAGCAGCTGATGTTGAATATAATACATACAGGTAAAATGATTTTTCATTTAATTCTATTATACCGAATGTTGATTATCATTATAATTTTTCGATAATGAATAGTAGATAATATATACATAGATAATTCGTACTTATGTGAATATATTTATTAATGAATTTTTACAGTATATATCGATTTGAATGTTCAAATTGTGGCTTGCATTTTCTCGAAGAAAAAACTTTTAATGCCATGCCAGCAATGACACGATTAAATCTCTCCAGAAATCGTCTGGCTAGTCTTCCAAACGGATTTCTGAATAGTCTCTCGTCTTTGCGAATCCTTGATCTTTCTGACAATATAATTAATTCTTTAGAAAGTGAAATGTTTCATGGTGCTACCAGTTTAACTAAACTCAATCTTGCGGGTAATCCTTTGACAACATTACAAGTAACACCATTCCTGATGACTCCTAGTCTTACTAAACTTGACGTAAGCAGATGCGCTTTGGAAAGAGTATGGAGTGAAGCTAGAGTTCCACTAACTACTTTACGGTATATAACATTATATTGTAAAAACAATTTTTTTTTATTCTATTAAAAAATTAAATTTTTTAATGAATAATAAATACATATTATTTTTTAAATTATTTTATAAATAAAAATATAAAAAAATATACAATTATGAAAAAAGATAAAGTAAATCGTAAATAAAATTATAATTTATCAATACTATTATTTTATTTTTAGATACTTATCAGTTCGGGAAAATCTTCTCCATCATATCACTGTGGAAGAACTGAAAGCAATGCCATCACTTGTTAGTTTGGATTTATCTCACAATCCTCTTGATTGTGATGTTGAATTCAATGAAGCAGTTCAGTGGCTTACCGATCATGGTGTAACTCCAATTGAATCATTGAGGTATTTATTAATTTTGAAAATGTAAATTAAATGAAATATATAATATATAAATATTCAATTTTTTACAATTTTCAGATATATAAGCAATTATGGTAATACTGATAATTATCAAGATTCTGAAGGCATTAGTCAATGGACGGATTTGGCAAAAGTAATTTGTGACGGTATTAGTTCTGGACCACGACCGAGACCAATTCCTCAGAAAGAAAAGAAAAACAATTTCCTTGGTGGATTTGATTCATCTGAAGATTCTGATTCTTTACTAAGAAGCAATGTTAAAAGTGACGAAGTAAGTATAAATTTTATTATATTTTTGATTAATGAAAAAATGTGATAAAAAAATTTATTATGTACAATTTTAATATTGTTTCTCGGTTCAAAAAATATTAAAATTATATGTAAAAATTATTTTAAAAGTCAATAATAACTCTTTTATATTAGGAATTAATTAAGTTGCAAATTGATCATGGAATAAAATTAAATGAAGAAGTTGAAAAAGCCTGGACAACGCAAGATCAAGAATATGAAGATTTTCTTACTTCAGAGAATATGGAATATCATCCCTGGTACACTAATGCACTTTGGCCTGTAATGATCGTGATTATCATAACTTCGATAATTCTCTTATTAACAGTACATATTTTAATTCATTTCGCGAAACGACGAGGTCAAGGACCTGTTATTAGGCCACCAATGATCCTACGACAAGGTTTAATTGATAACAAAAATTGTGGTTTAGTATACAAACCACTTCAAGAAGAAATTGCTACTCCCCATGTTCCGAAACGGGGAAGCTTTTATTCTAGTAGTACATTCCATTATGATAAAATTGTGCCAGAAAGCGTATAAAATTTATTATCAGCTATAATCAAGTTATGAATTATTTAGAAAATAATGTAATGCAATTTAACCTGCCGTTAAAAAAAACAAAAAATTTTTAAAGAAATATTTTTAAATAAATCAATGACTTAATTACACTCAGGAAAACGTGTTATATGTAAACATAATATATTTATAATGGTAAAAATATATATAAATTTTTACAATTAATATTATAAAATATTCGCAAATAAAATGAAATATATATATTAGATAATAATTGACTGGATTAAACTAATTATAGAAGAACACGTTTTCAAAGTACTCAATTTTCCGTAGATTCCAAGATTTTTATAATACTTAATAATATTTTGAAAAAATTATATATGAAATTTTTATTTACATAAACAATTAATATTTTTTTATTTCAAATAAAACATTTTTTTATAAATCGAAATTATATTTCACTAATTAATTATATAACACTAATTATATATATTTAATTACTATTGCATATTATTAATTGTAGAATTATTATTTTGGGTAAATAAATGGATTACTAGAAAAAAAAATTAGAAACGAAAAACAAAAATTAATACATTTTAAGAACAGGGTTTTAGAATACAACGAATGTATTTTTATATTTGAAATTGAAACAATTTTTTAACATTCATCACGTACATAGTTACAATAATATATATGAAACGTAAGTTTCGTAATTTTTAATAGTGATAATGATAATATTATTCGCAACATTTAAGCCATAAAAAATAAGTACTTTTAAGAGAAAAAGTACTATACATATACTACTATATAAATTAATATTTCGTAGTATAACTAGTACGTTATCTTGTACTATATATTATGCTACATATTGTAAATAATGTATAACGTTTAAATAAAAATTTTGATTATAATAAATAAATAAAAATTATTTTTTAATGCTCCATTATATATATCATATTATATCATATATTTATCATTAATCATATATATCATATTAAATATATGTAAGTATATAATATGTATCTTTATTTATATTTTGACTTTATATATATAATATCTATTTAAAAAATAAAATCTTAAATAATATCATAATTTTTAATTTTTTTCCAAATAAAATTTAGACACATATAGAATATACTATACTAATGTATAAAATATCAATGTATAGAATATACCATACATGTATTATATGTTATATGTATTATAATATATAACATAAGATTTCAAATTTGTACGTATATGTACATGAATTCATATGTATTTCAGAATCTTTGACCTCAAATATAATCGATGTTAACGCAAAAAAAACTAATAATGCATTTTAATCAGTTTACTCCTCAAATATTTATTTGAAATATGATAATTTGTTCTATTTTTTAAGTTATTTTTTTATAAAAATATTTAAAATATAACAGAGATAATATAATAAAAAAAGATTTTTTTATAAAAATATTTAAAATATAATTTAAAGATAATAATATTATTTATTATTTGTTCTATTTCAATCAATAAAAGATTATAAATTTTCTATTTGAAAATTTTTATTTTTTAATCATTTGATTTTAAAGAAAATCTAAACATTGATACGGTACTGATACGACCAAAAAATTATTTCATTATAGATAAGAGAGAATTGTATCCGAATGTTTAGTATATTTTAGTAATTAAAGAACGCCATAGATCGATCAGTTTTTAAAAATTAATATTTTTTCTAATTAATACTTTTATATTCAAATTTTAAATCTTTATTTTATAGTTAAAAATTTGTTATTAAAAAAATGCTTTCCAAAAGACGTATTTTAGATCTATTACAAGTTATTTCTTCTCAATCGTAAGTATATTATATAGATATACAGTATAAATATATAAAATTATACAATTAATTTATGTTAAAAACTATTTTTATAAATTATTGTATATTTTAATTTTTATATAATATATTATATTTTATAATATCAATATTTACATATACATATATATTATATATATTATAGAAATACAAACTATATTTTTTGAAAAATTAATATTATCTTAATATTAATATATTTCTATGTATATTTCTAGAACAAGAAAATTTTTATCTTTGGTATATTGATTGATCTAAATTTTTTATAGCTGTAAATGCCCGGCCCATGCAAATCCAAGAGGTACTTTATGTGAACTAAAAAAAGTTCAAAGTACAGTGGCTAATGCTACATTAATAAAAGAATATGCATTTGAGGTATATATTTGCAATATTTAAAGATAATACCCTATAATAATAACCTATATTAATAATATAATGAAGCTTGATCAAATAGAAATAAATTTATCAAAAAAGAAAATTTATGTGTATAAAATTTTATGATTAAATTTATTTTATTAATATTATCTTAATAAAAATATTTGCAGATGGCTTCTTCTACAGTACGATATGGTATTGGTGTTACAAGAGAATTGGGTATGGATATGCAAAATTTTGGTTCCAAAAATGTATGTTTAATGACAGATTCCAATTTAATAAATTTACCACCTGTTAAAACTGCTATGGATAGCCTTACTAAACATGGTATTCAAACTTCAGTTTATGACAATGTACGCGTAGAACCCACAGAACAAAGTTTAAAAGATTCTATTGAGTTTGTTAAACATGGAAAATTTGATGCTTTTATAGCGGTAAGAGATAAATATATAACAAGTTTTTCGAAATGTTTAATTTATATTTTCTTGAAATATATTATAAAAATATATTACTTAATTAGCAAAGAATTTTACATTTTAAAAAATAGGAAATTAAATCTATTTATTAAAAAGTAGAGTTGAGAAGATAATTATTCTTATTAAGAAATCAAAAATAAAGAAGTAATTATTTTTATTTAAATTTTATAAAATTAATAATAGTATATATATTTAATAATATTTATTTGATGTAGGACAATTTAAAATATAAAATTAATTTTTTTATCAGATAGGAGGTGGTTCAGTGATTGATACTTGTAAGGTAGCAAATCTTTATAGTTCTGATCCACAAGCAGATTTCTTAGATTATGTAAATGCACCTATTGGTAAAGGAAAACCAGTTACAGTACAATTAAAACCATTAATAGCTGTACCAACTACATCTGGTACTGGTTCAGAAACAACTGGTGTTTCTATCTTTGATTATCAACCACTTAAAGCTAAAACTGGAATTGCTAATAGGTAAATATTATAAATTTATAAATTTGTAATATTGCAATAAAATTATTGCTTTATGATCATATTTTACATATAAATTATATATTTGTCATATGTTATTAAATATTATTATTAAGTTTAAAATTAAATTTAAGAATTTGTTTGTAGAGCATTAAAACCCACTTTGGGACTTATTGATCCAAACCATACATTGAGTTTGCCAGAAAGAGTTTGTGCTTATTCTGGCTTTGATGTACTATGTCATGCTCTTGAATCTTTTACTGCATTACCATATACTGAAAGAACTTGTCCTTCTAATCCGATACTTAGACCAGCCTACCAAGGAAGCAATCCTATTAGTGACGTATGGTCAAAATATGCTCTTCGAATAATGCATAAGTAAATACTTATTTTTATTATTATGTTTGCTAAAAAAAATATTAAATAAATAAAATTTAAAAAATATAAATTTATATAATGGTTTATATCTATAATTTATTTTTGTTTTCGAATTTTTTAAAAAAATCAATTATTTTTAATTATAAATAAATAATGAAATAATAATTAAAAATTACAGAAAAAATATATTTTTACTATTTTTTTTATATATAGATATTTTAAGAGAGCAGTGTATAATCAAGATGATCTTGAAGCTAGAAGCAACATGCATCTTGCAAGTACCATGGCAGGTGTTGGATTTGGTAATGCAGGAGTTCATCTTTGTCATGCACTTTCTTATCCTATTAGTGGAAATGTACGGAATTTTCAGCCTATGGTACTTATAAAAATTCTATTAAAGTAATTATATTAAAAAAAATTAAATTAGAGAAAATTTAAATACACTGTTTATTATAGGGTTATAGCAAAGATCATCCTATAGTGCCACATGGACTGTCAGTTGTTATAACTGCACCTGCTGTATTTTCCTTTACTGGAAATGCATGTGCAGAAAGACATTTAGAAGCTGCTGAATTACTTGGTACTGATATTAGTCGAGCTAAAAAAAGCGATGCAGGCAAAATATTAGCAGATACTGTAAGAGAATATATGCAGATGATGAAAATTGAAAATGGTTTGGTTGAATTAGGTTTCAAAAAAGAAGACATTCCTACTTTAGTGGAAGGCACATTACCACAAGTAAGCAAATTCATTATAATTATTTTTTTTCTCTCTATTATAAATATTAAATAAGAATATTAGAAGAATGACTTTAATATTATTAAGCAGAATATTTAATTATGTATTTTGATAAGTAAAAAGCAATTTACAATCAATTTAAAATGTGATTTATTAGCATATAATATATATATATAATATAAATTTGTCATATATTTTTAATTTCATATACTAATATATGAATTAAATATTATTATATTACTATATATATACAATTATATATATAATTATATATATGATTACTATATATAAATACTATGTATTTATATATATTTCTTTTTTGATGATCATGAATTATTTTATTTTAGAGTTACATTTGTATATAATTTATATGCTTTTTTTATTTATATTATAAACTAATTTAATTTTATATTATTTATAGCATCGTATTACGAAATTAGCACCACGAGAACAATCAAGAGAGGATTTAGCCCAATTATTTGAAAATTCTTTTACAATATATTAAAAGAAAATTAATTTTTAAAGTCAAATTTTTTAAAAACAATAAATAAGGACAATAAATAATAATTTTTAATATTAATTTTTTCTAAATGAAATATTATCTTTAATCTATTTTTTATAAACATTTTTTTTTATAAATTATATGAACGAAATAATCTGAACTAATAATTTAAATATATAAATGTAAATATATAAATATATTAGTAAAACAATCATATATCATATATCTTAATAGTATTAATTTATTTATCATCGAATTTCCTTAAAAAATACCATTCTAAAAATAAATGTTCATTTTCGTATATTATTAATTTTCTTGAATGAATATAAGATAATTTTATTTAAATTTATCATAAATGTTCTTGATTTAATTCTCAGTAATAATAATCACTAATACTCACTAATAAAAGTTGTAGCACATAATATACAAAAAATAATTATAATAGTATCGTGAATTTACGATATTCATTCAAAGATTAAATTACTCTTCAAATAAAATTTTAAGATTCATAATTCATTGTACTATTTGTTTCAAATATATAATTCTTTATAAATTACATGAGTCTTATTTTTACTTAATATTCAAATATTATTATTATAAATAATATTATTTATTTTGTATTCTTCATCTTGAATCGATTAAATTATACAGATCTGTACAAAAAATTTTAAAATTTTTAAGCGAATGATGCTAACAAGTAAATTTTAAATAAAATTGAAGCTAGAAATTCCGATTTTGAAAAAAAAGAGTAAAAAATAATGCAGCTGCTTTTTTACTGTTTTAACTAATTTAGTATAAAATTTATTATATTTTAGGATAAATTTTATATTTATATTTTATGTTGCAATAGATTTTTCATAGCAAGTTATATATTTATAACTAAACGAAACAAAACAATTAACTTTACCATGTGGTTATTTGTTATCGTATTAAGGTAAGTTATTTTTGAGAAATAAAAATTTTTTTAAGAATAAAAGGATTTAATAATATTTAATTTTCTGATAAAATAATTTTATTAATATTTATTTTTTAAACTTTAAATTAACAAAAACATTATTTTTAAAAGAAAACTAAATAATATAATAATCATGAACATTATTTTTGATATAAAAATAATAATCTATTGATTAGTTTTATATTTTGTTAATAATAATTTAATAATTATAAGACAATAATATTAAATAAATAATAAATTTAATATAATAATTGAAAAAACGTATATACGAGATTATATTTTCGTTTATTATATTTAAAATGAATCCAATGCGATAAATGCTAAAAAAATATATATAAAATATAAAAAATATAAAAGATAAGATAAAATGAAAAGGTAAAATTGACAAATTCTAGATCGTTAGAATAAAAAAAACAATGGAGAATTGTTACGATAATATCATGCTTTCAATAATCAGTGTCCATCAATATACATAATATTTTAGAAGAAATATTTTGCTTATTATATATTGACTTATATTTTATTTTCTGTTACACGTTTTTTAAATGTCATCTGATTCATAAGTATAAAGAAATCAATATTATTGACATTAAATAATTGATATAAATCACAAAATAACAATCGAAAAATATTTACTTATCTGATACACTAGATCCTTGTGCAGAATTTCTTATTCGCTTTTGCAGATACTACTAAAATGGATGACAGAGTGGTATAATCGATTCACATATCGAAAATAATTGAAAGCACGATATTAATTATTTTTATTTTATTTTAAACTATAACCGTCGAAACATTTTATATTTATATTATATTTTTAGCGCTAATCTTTTTTACATAATATTTTTCTTATACGACATTAATATATATTGATAATGAATTAATATAATTAAATATTAATATTAATAATATTTTATTATTACTCAAGTTAAAATGAGCTAATGAAACTAAAGAATAAAATGAAAATGAAAAAATCATATATGCATACACTATATATATAATGTTAATATTTCTAATTATTTGAAAAAGAAGAATTCAATTTGTAAAGGTATGTATGTGTATAATATAATCAAGAATAAGATATAATTGTTACGTTAAAATAATAAATGAATAGAAATAAATTTTATTTTGTAAAGAATGATATTAATAATTTAATAAAAACTGTTTCAATTCTCAAATTTATTATATGTCCAATTAAAATAAAAATATAGTATATTTTGATCAAGTATTTACAATATGATAATTTATTTTATTTTTTAACTTATTTTGTTAAAAAAATATTTAAAATAAAAATAATTATATTATTTATTATTTGTTTTCTATTAACAAAAGATTCTATTTTAAAAATTTTTTTAAATTATTTGATATTAAAAATTTGAACATTGATAATACTATAATATTATGTATATAAAATTATTTTATTGCAGATAACAAGAGAATTATATTCAAATATTCAGTACTGATTATAGAACATTATAGATCAATCAACAATTTTTAAAAAATCAATATTTTTTTCTTTAAATCCTTTAAATATTATATTCAAAAAAATGCTTTTTAAAAAATCTAATTTAGATCTATTACAAGTTATTTCTTTTCAATTGTAAGTATGCATATACATATATGTATATATAATATAATATAAATATATAAAATTTTACAATTATTTTATTTTAAAAATTATTTTTACAATTATTTGTAAATTATTTTTGTAATTATATTAATAAAATCTTTTAGTATATTGATATACACATATATATATTATATACATATATATATTATATTAAAAGATATAAATTATTCTGAAAAATTAATATTATAATACTAATATATTATAATATTTTAATACTAATATATTTCTATGTATGAATATAAATAATTTTTGTTTTTGATTATTATTAATTTGATTGATATTAATTAATTTAGATTAATTTAAAGATGTAATTTATAGATGTAAATGTCCATTTTATGCAAATCCAGGAAATACAACTATATTTATCTTTTATGAATTAAAAAAAAATCAAAGCACAGTGACTAATGCCATACTAACAAAAGAATATGCATTTGAGGCATGTATTTTTAATATTTATATATATATTATATAAAGAGATAAATAATTTCTTATATTCAATCTATGTTTATTGTGGATTAAATAATTATGAAATACAAAGTATCAAGAAAAAAAATTTATACTTAATATAAAATTTTTTTGATTAAATTTATTTTATTAATAAAATAAATTTTAATAATTTTAAAATTTAATAAAAATATTTGCAGATAACTTCTCCTACACTACGATATGGTATTGATGTTACAAGAGAATTGGGTATGGATATGCAAAATTTTGGTTCTAAAAATGTATGTTTAATAACAGATTCTAATTTAGTAAATTTATCACCTGTTAAAATTGCTATGAACAGTCTTATTAAATATAAAAATCAAACTACAGTTTATGATAATGTACGTATAGAACCTACAGAACAGAGTTTAAAAGACTGTATTGAATTTGTTAAATTCAAAAAATTTGATAGTTTTGTAGCGGTAAGAATAAACATATAACAAGTTTCTTGAAAATTTTGATTATTTTCTTAATATATTATTATAAAAATTTATCAAGGAATTTTATATCTTAAGAAAAAAAAATTTTAAATTTAAAGCATAGAATTAATTTTTTTATTAGATAGGAGGTGGTTCAGTAATAGATACTTGTAAGGTAGCAAATCTTTATAGTTCTGATCCACAAGCAGATTTTTTAGATTATGTAAATAAACCTGTTGGTAAAGAAAAACCAATTACAGTGAAATTAAAACCATTAGTAGCTGTACCAACCACTTTTGGTACTGGTTCAGAAACAAGTGGTATTTGTATCTTTAATTACGAACCACTTAAAGCCAAAATTGGAATTATTAATAGGTTAATAAGTTATAATATTGTAATAATATTATTGTTGTATGATTATTTACATTTTATGATGATATATAATTTATAAATTATATATTTGTTATATATTATTAAATGTTATTATTAAATCACTTAGAATAATTTGAGAATTATTTTCAGAGCTTTAAGACCCACTTTGGGTCTTATTGATCCAAACCATACATTGAGTTTGCCAGAAAGAGTCTGTGCTTATTCTGGCTTTGATGTATTATGTAATGCTCTTGAATCTTTTACTGCATTACCATATACAGAAAGAACTTGTCCTTCCAATCCAATTCTTAGACCAACCTACCAAGGTAGCAATCCTATTAGTGATGTATGGTCAAAATTTACTCTTCAAATAATATACAAGTTAATAATTATCTTTATTATGATGAAAAATAATGTTGTAATAGTTAATAATGTAAATATAATTTATATTTGTATATTTTTAATATGATTTATATTTATAATTTATCTTTATTTTTCAATTTCTTTAAAAAATCAATTATTTTTAATTATAAATAAATAATGAAATAATAATTAAAAATTACAGAAAAAATATAATATTTTTACTATTTTTTTTATATATAGATATTTTAAGAGAGCAGTGTATAATCAAGATGATATTGAAGCTAGGAGTAACATGCATCTTGCAAGTACCATGGCAGGTGTTGGATTTAGTAATGCAGGAGTTCATCTTTGTCATGCACTTTCTTATCCTATTAGTGGACATGCAGAAAGTTTTCAACCTACAGTATGTATAATACATATAATAAAATGCAAATATAATTTTTATGCTAAGTATTAAAAATAACTTAAATATTCATTGTTTGTTACAGGATTATGACAAGAGTCATGTTATAGTGCCACATGGATTGTCAGTTGTTATAACTGCACCTGCTGTATTTTCCTTTACTGGAAGTGCATGTCCAGAAAAACATTTAGAAGCTGCTGAATTACTTGGTGCTGATATTAGTCAAGCTAAAAAAAGTGATGCTGGCAAAATATTAGCAGACATTATAAGAAAATATATGCAAATGATGAAAATTGAAAATGGTTTGACTGAATTAGGTTTCAAAAAGGAAGATATTCCTATTTTAGTGGAAGGTGCATTGCGACAAGTGAGCATTGTCATTTTTATCATATGATCTTTTTATTATATATTTAGTTATCATAACTATTAAATGATATTATGACTATTAATATTAAATAAGGTATTTAATTATGTATTTTGATAAGTGAAAGAAAATTTACAATTAATTTTAAATAGTGATTTATTGGTCACCATACATGAATGAATGACAATTAAGTAAATTTGTCATATATTTTTAATTCATATGCTAATATATATGACGAATTAACAATTGTCATGTAATATAATATATATATATATATTTTTACATTTTAAATTTTTTGGTATGATCATACAATATTTTATACATACATTATGGTTACATATATAATTTTTATATTTTTTTTCATTAATATTATAAATTAATTTTATATTATTAACAGAAACGTCTTACGAAATTAGCACCACGAAAACATACAAGAGAAGATTTAGCTCAAATATTTGAAAACTCTTTTAGAATATATTAAGAGAAAAGTAATTTCTAAAGCATATTTTTTTTAAGAATATTATATAAACTATTTTTTAATATCTAATTTTTTCTAAATGAAATTTTATTATCTTTAATAAATTTTTAATCTATTTTTTAAATAAATGTTATATTTTTTGATAATTATTATATGAACAAAATAATTTGAAGTAATAAATTAAAAATTGAGAATAAAACATATTACATATTAAGAATATGATTAAATCAAAAAAAATATATTGACATCTAGTATCGATACAAATAACCAATTGATAGCATCTATAAAGTCATTTTTTTTACCAAAAAATCCTTAATAAAGCATTCATCATTACAAGAACGATGATAAGGACCTTTGAATTTAATGACTTATATTTTATGATGTAATCATTAATAAATTCTTATTTTTATAAGATTGTACATATTTCAATAATTTCAATTTTGCAAAATACAAAATCTAATTATTCGTATCAAGTATATTGTATATGTTTATTAAATCATCACACATTTATCATTGATATTAAAATTTTCAAAAAATTAGAGATTAGCTACAGATTAATACTATCCGAAGCAGTCAAATTTTATTTTATAAATCTCACTATAAATTTAATGAATTTTTGAAAAGTATTTGTTATATAAAATTTTGATAGAAATAATTCTTTTAATATACACATCATCGAAAAATGTAGAATTATTGGTAACATGAATTGATCGATTTTATATATTTAATTTAATGATTAATATTGTAAAATTAATATCAATATAATAATTTATTGATATCATTTTACTGCTTAATAGTTGATAAATGATTTTTTATTATTTTAAAAAATGTATTGAGCATAAGATATCATTTTTCTTTTAAAATATAAAAATATGAATACATGCTTAGTGACTAAATCAATATGAAATCATTAAAATATATAAATATCATTTATATATTATATTAAATGATAATAAATAGTAAATTTTTCATTCATATGATACAAATGATATTTTAAATTTCTAATGATATCAATTAATATCTAAAAGCATGTATTATCAATTTTTTTATATTAAAAAAAAATGTCTAATTTTATTAGATATATAATTAGTTTGATTTATAAACATTTTTCAAAATAATTCCTATTCAAACTCAATTCAAATGAAATAGATACTGTTTCTAGTATATCAAATATTTTTTTGTCTTCGGTTTCATTTTTCATATATGATGTTGTAAAATTTGTCTTATAAAATTTATATAGTAAGATTTTTTACGTTTAATGTATACATGATATAGGAATAAAAGTTTTTTGGAAAATTCATTTTTTATGGTGAATATTGTAAAAATTTTTAATTCAAAAATATTTATTTTTTTCGGGCCAAAACTCTTAAAAAGTTAACTTCTGAAATTTATAATATTAAGAAAATAGTTAATTTTTCTTGTTATAAAACTTGCAATAAAACTTATTTCACTAATATAATTTAAAATTACATGTAGCAATTAATTACCTTAAATATTTTATCAGAATGATGTTTGAATTTTACTTTTGCTGTAACTTTGCGTAAATAATTTTCCATATCCATTATGTTATTAAAATATTATATTATCCATATTATTTCTTTAAATCGTTGAATATTACGTTCAAACTATAAAAATATTAAATGATATTTTGTAATTGTTGTTGATTTTTATTCAATATGAATATATATATATATGCAAATAAAATAATGATATGTTATATACCTTCAATATTAATTTATTCACCGTCGAACCTCCTTGAGATATACCACTCTATCAACAAATATTCATTTTCGTATTTCACAATTTGAACTAGTTCCGTCGACTGCGAATATAAGAGTGGTTCATTTATATTTATGAGGAATGTCTTTGATTTAATCCTCCCCACTACTAATAATAATGTTGATGTTTACCTTTTAAACTATTTCACTCTTCACAATGGTTGTAGCAAATAGTATATACAAAAAAATAATAATAGTGCCGTGAATTTACGATATTCGTTCAAAGGAAGATTAAATTACACTTCAAATATGAATTCTGAGAATTTGTAACTTGTACTATTTGCTTTAAATAAATAAATTCCTTATAAATTATACGAGTCTTATTTTTACTTGACTGTTACTATTCAGATATCAATTGATTTTGGATCCTTCATCTTGAACCGATTAAATTATACAAAAATACTTTAAATCTGTAAAAAAAAAAATTTCAAAAGATTTGAACGAACGTGCCTGCCAAATAAATTAAAAATTTTCAATACACAATATTTTTCAAAACGAATATAGTATATGGTACTGACGAGTTAATATGGATAAATATGATATAGTTTATTATTATTCAAGTTAAAATTAACCGATGAAGCTAAAAAAAAATCATAACTATATATAACTATATATATATGTATATATGTATATCCTACATCGATATATAATATTTTTTGGTCATTTCGAAAAGGAAAAGGCGAATTCATTTATAAAAGTATATATACGTGTATAATATAATCAAGAATAATGTTGAAATGAATGAATAGGGATAAATTTTATTTCGTAAAAGAAATAAATTTAATAATTTAAATGCGTTTAGCAAAAACTATGTTTTGGTTATTATCAAACTTATTATTATCTCGAATTATAATAAGAATATTATTATAATATGGTATTTCCTTTAATGTCAAATAATATTTACTTAAAATATTTGGAAATAGACAAAGTGTATGACCTGTTTTAAACATCTTGTCGGAAATATTATGTATTATATCCGTCATGAAATAATTTCAAAGTATATATCTCATAATAGTTATTTGAAAATGAATATCTAAATTTGATACTACTTCAAAATATATGCTGTATTCAAAGCAATGTTGTGTTTTCTTTAAACAAATTAGGACTTAAGTACGAAATAAGTACTTATTTATACAAAATATTCTTTCTCATCCTCCTCAAAATATATCACTCTTGAGACGTTTTTTTCTTGTAAGAAAAATATCAAATGTCAAAAGATCTCGGTAAGAAATTATTACTTTTTGATATGTATCCACCAATTTTGCATACAAATTCGTGCTATTGATTTTTTGACATAATACAAACCATGCACCATGTAAACTTTTTAATAATAGTATATAGTATATCGGATATAATAATTTTTATCGTTTAAAATTATTCCAGTTGTAGGAATTAATGGATTTGGAAGAATAGGGAGAATGTGTTTACGTGCTTGTATCGAAAAGGATATTACGGTAACGATTGATTAACGATATTACAATATACTTGTATACTCGCGTGGAAAATTTTTTTCTATCCTAAAGAAGGGGCACAGAATAATTATATTCCATTAGGTCAAGTTGGTTAATGATCCATATATTTCGACCGATTATATGATATATCTGTTCAAATTTGACTCGACTCATGGAGCGTATCCTTTAAAAATACAATGTGAAAATGGGCACATTATTATCGGAGGTATTTATTTATTTAAGATAGATTATTGAATTTTTTAAATTTTCAAAATTGACAATCCTTTTTTTTTTCTTTTC